CCCATGAGGACAAGGGCCTGCAAGCATAAGGTTGCTCCTACCTGTCTATAGAGAGCTTCATCACAGAGTCCTCTTGATCAGGCGGTCTGTAACAGATCACCACAGTAATGACCCCCATCACTGTTCTCCCTTTAACCCTGACCCACAAACTCTCTGTTGACTGCTCGCCTGTCCCTAGACAGAGTTCCATACTCTCCAGCCTATCCCTAACATAAATAGCAACTTCCCCTCCCTGTCTGGCCTGTCACCTTTCATTCCAACACTCCAGTCATAGGAGTCACCCCACCATGTTTTTGTGATACCAATGATATCATAACCCCATAGACGAGCACACATCTCTAATTCCTCTTGTTTGTTCCCCATACTACAGGCATTTGTATAGAGGCATCTGAGCTGAGCTCCAACTGAAGCCGGCTCATTGGCTGGAGCGGCTGGGATAGCTCTACATTGCTCCCAGCATTTATTATAGGTGCTGGCAACTGACTGGGAGTGTTAGGATGGAATGATGTACCCCTCCCCCAACACATCTAGTTTAAAGCTTTCTTGACCAGCCTGGCAAGCCTCCTACCAAAACCAGCTCCACCAGCCCCCAGTAGACCTGGCCTCCCAAATTGAGTCCCATGTTCTAGATACCCAAACCCCTGACTATGGCACCACCATTCTAACCATTTATTAGCCTGTCAAACCCACCTAGGCTTTTTAAGGTCCTCCCCTTTATCCTGGAGAATTGATGAAAAAACTATCTGAGCGCCAGAGCCTCTAACCACCTCTCCCAGGGCTCTGTAGTCCTTCTTAATGTTCTCCGCGCTACTGCTATCTATATCACTAGCACCCACGTGGACAACAAGGAGTAATAGTCAGTGGGGCTTATTAGACCACGCAGCCCCTCTGCAACATCCCTGATCCAAGCCCCTGGTAGGCAACACAACTCCCTTAAGACTGGGTCAGGCCAACAAATGGGTGCCTCTGTGCCTTTCAAAGTAGAGTCCCCTACTACTACAACCCGATGCTTTTTCCTGGCAGCACCAGTAGTGATCTTCTTTACTTGTGCATCAGCCGCTTGTTCATGATGCAAGTGTGTTTCCTCATTAGCTCCCTGCAGAACTGCAAAGCTGCTCTGGGGGGGGACATCAGAATTAGGAGGAAGCCCCTTGCTTTTAATTGTCCTCTTCCTCCTTTTTTTTTTTTGTTTTTGTTACTAGTTCCCAGCTTCCCGGGTTAACGGCCTCCTTCTTTCCTGCATGAGCTACGACGGACGCTTGAAGCCCCTGCACAGTCTGGCCCTGTTGCAAACAGTCCTGCTTCCCCTCAGCTTCCCTGACATCTTTTAGTCTATTGACAGCATCCCGCAGCTCAGCCGCTGCTGCAGGAGGGCCTCCGCCAGAGCTCACCGAGTGCAGCCCTGCCCGTTGCGCACCCTCCCCTCACCAGACCAGTGCAGGCACTCTCTACACTCCGAGCTCCGCACTGCAGCCTCCCCTCTCATCGGCTCTGTCTGGGTGTCGACGCTGGCCACCGCCGGGGTAGCCAGAGCAGAGCTCCCGGACCGGGCCCTGGTCAGGAGCGAGCGCTCCCCATCGCAGCTCGCTGCGCCACGTCCTGTTCGCCGCGCTCCCTGGGGCGGGTTTTTAACCACTCAGGGCTGGTGCACCTCCTCCTGGCTCCGCCCCCTGTGAGTCAGCTGCTCCCGTCAGAAGCAGTCGAGGACTTGAGGCTCCCGCTGCTCTGAGTTGAGGCTCCTGGACGCTGAGCTTCCCCCTGCTCAGGTGTTGAACGCGTCCTCTCTTGAGCTACTCACCTCGGCAATTGAGGTGACCAGCAACCTATTTATTACTCAGCAGAATTCCACAGCATCAAAGACTTATATGATGCACACCATAGAAGATCTACCATCCATGCAGAAAAATCCCGTTAAACACTAAAAGAATTCAACTGATCTCGCAAATGGTCTTAGGCTCATGCAGGAAGCATAATATTTCCTAAAAAAGCATAACACATTTTAAGTTATCTGCCTAGTTACAGTAATTAAAATTTCAACAATTGTTGAAATAAACAAGTATATATCCTTACTCCACTGATACCCCTAATATGAAGCCATTTTAACAGACCATTTTTTTTTTTGTTCAGTAAGCAAATGCTGGCAGATTATTTTAAGAATAAAAGGATTATTGTGAAGGATTATTGTGAAAGCAGCAATTACCTGAAGCAGTAATTGTATCTTCATTACAGGCTTTTATTATTTTGTCTGTACAAGTCTGAATTAACAGCGTATCAAACCAATAAACTCTAAACTCAGGATTATTTGCACTCAAAGTTATTTTACAAGGTATGCACTGGAACAATTTAACAACCATATTCATTTTATGGCAACAAAGTAGCAGTGACATAGAGGTGCAATGTTGTTACTTGGCATACTAAAGAGCTCTGGAACTTCAGTAAGTACTTACCATATAGACATTCTTCACAATTCAGAGAAAAAAAAAAACCAGCATTTACTCCATACTATACATGCCCATTGAAGATACACCCTCAAACCTACATATTCAGGTTTTTAAGCTGTATATTTTCCTACCAATTTTCTGAAGAACTGTGTTGCTCTTTAAAATCTTTACTGGATTGACAATTTATTACAGAAATTAATTCTGCATAACAATGCACATGAGTAATACTTTAGCCAAACTTGAGAACAGTCTTCTTAGGTTAAGAAATAGAATCATAGAATAGTTACAGTTGGAAAGGACCTTAAGATCATCTAGTTCCAATACCCCCCCCAAAATAATAGATAATATTAAGATTAATTTCACACACCGAATTCTGTTGCATTCTGTTAATCAGTAGGTGGTTTTGATCTTCATCTCCCATCCCTCCCTATTCCTATCTTTTTTAAGTCTATCAACTCTAAACAAGAGCATCATATTCAAAAGACAGCACCAATCTGGTAGGAAGCTTATTTTGCCTATTTAGAATAAAACCTGGTATTTCCCAGTAAACGACAAAAGCATGCTCAGCAAGCTGGTGAAAGACACCTGGTCCTTCTCTTCAGGCACCACCAGCTATCCACTGAAGCAAGACACAATTTTTTTCTAAGTGACTTTCATTAGAGGGTTTTAGTTTGTTTTTTTTTTTTCCTGTCACAAAATATTGTTTTCAGAAGAAAAGGATATACAAAAAATACTGAACTTAAAGATATATTCTCTTACAGGGTTAGCCATTTTTCAATTTATACTGCCTTTCACAGCATATAGACTGTCCATTCATGTCTTTCTTCCACCACTTTAAACGCCAGCTCTGAAACCCATTAGCTGACCTTTATGGACGCAAGAGGATTTTCCTAACCCAGGCTTTGCCCGCAAGCAGAAGTCCACAGTGATTTTCCACTGGGTGCTATACCAGACTCCAGACTTTTCTCCAATCTGTTTCATCCCTCGTACATGGTGATCTAAGCGTGTAGATACCTCATGGAACGGCATAAATTGCAAGTAAATAACTGTTTTTCGGAAATGTACCCTTGAAGCCGCACGGCTTCGGCTTTAGCAGGTATTTGCAGAGGTCAGCTCCGGGCTCTCCAGCCTCTGCAGGCTAGCGGGAGGGCACGGAGCAACCTCCCTGCCGACCCGCTGACCCGGAGCGGGCATCCCGAGCACCACCGATCCACCGCCCCGCGGCCCAGCAGGGCAGGCAACCCAGCCTGCCGCACACGGCCCCGGCCCCGGCCCCCGCCCAGCCCTCCGGGAGCGCGGCGCCCCGGCCGCTGAGAAGGCTCCCGCCGCCGGCGGCCATCACCGTGCCAACAAGCCCAGAGGGCCAAGCCGACCTGGACTTTGAGACACAGCGGAGCCCGCTGCGCTCCTGTACCCCCTCACGGACACCGGACGCGACCCGCCTTCCCCACCGCCTGCAAGACTTTCGCCCTCTTACCGGAGCAGCCGGGAGAATGCACCGTGAGCGGAGCCCACAGCTAAGACGGGCCGCAGATAGCCCCGCGGCTCGCACCGACGGCGAGCCGCCTCCGGGAGCGGCGCTCAGCCGCCAGCGACGCGGCAGTGCAGAAAGCCGCCGTGCTGGAGGAGCTGCGCGCCCAGGCTATGGCTCTGCCAGTACCTCCTCACAGGGAGGACCAGACAGACACCAGCCGCAGCAACGCCAGGACGCGCCCCGCACAAAGATGGCTGCACGCAGCGTCTCCGCCGCTCATATGAGCATTGCCCCGCACAAAGATGGAGGAGCTAGCCTCTCACCCCGCCTTACCCGGTGGTCCGCAGGCGGAGATTGCCCTGTGTAAAGATGGCCGACGCGGACTCCTAGCGGAGTGGGTCACCCTCACGTGGCAGCGGTAAGGGCTGTCTCTCGGTCGACCTTAGCCGCTTCTCGGTGGCCCGGAAGCAGATCTCCGGCCGGTCTCTGAGCAGCTGCTGGTGCGGGGAGGGAGGGAGCGGCCCGTGGGGGGCTGTGGCCGCTGCTTGCGGCCCCGGCTCTCGGCAGGTAACAGGGGGCGGCAGCTGTAGGGCGGGACTCGGCTCACGGAAAGGTGCGTCCGCCTTTGCCGCGGTGAGAATGGAGGTTGAGGGGCGCGCGGGGCTGCCATCTAGGCAGTGTCCGTCGCCAGCCCGAGGCGCCGCAAGGCTTGGGCGTCCCTACCGCGGTGCCGGCGCTGCCGGACCTGGGGAGGGGCCGGGCGGAGGTGGCTCCTGCCCACAATGGGACCAGCTGCAGGAGCGGGGTCCGTTGTGCGTCCGCGCCCGGCCGGGCCGTGGTTCTTGTCCCGCGGCGGGGGGAGGCTCCTGTGCCCCAGGAAGCTGCTCCGGGCAGCGCAGCCTGGCAGGGTCAGAGGAAGGGACATGGCCAGTGGGCAGGGCTGCCAGCGCCCTCGGCGTGCGGGCCCGCCTTCTGCTTTCAGCTCGCTCCGTGCCACGGTTGCGGTCTTGGGTGTTACGGACAGAAGCTTAGCATCAGGGAGTAAGGGGGAATGGTCCCTGTTAATGGGGGAGATTATGTCAGGGTATAGTGTTTGTTCCTCATTGTGTCTGCAGTAAAAATGAGGCTTTTGAATGAGATAAACTTCAGGCTGCTCTCAGATCTTAACTCTCTTAGCTGGCAAACAGGTTCTTCCAACAGTAGTGAAATGGGATTGTTGTCATGAATGGATTTAGAGAATATAAGTGAACTGCCAGGTGATAAAAGCAGGCTGAGTCCTCTGTAGATCCTGGTTACACGTGCACAGGTGTCTGCACAGAGCAGTGTGAAGGAATGGGGCCTAAATTGAATCAGCAAATTCACTGTCTCCTCATGAAGCACAAATCTCCAGTCAGAAACATCAATCAAACAAGTCATATACATGTTATTTAAGAGATTCAAACTTGTAGAAGAAAGCTATCTGGGCTTTTATTGCATAATTTAGTATATATCCTTTATTTGACAGGGTATTCCGGAGACCACCTGTGGCTGTTTTCAAGATAGTGTCACTTAATGAGGTTATGGGAGAGAAGGAGCCATGTCAGAAGAAGCTGTTACTGAGGCACGATTTTCTCTGAAGATAGTAGCCTTACGGGTATTTCATCTTCCCCTTTCCTGGTATCATTCTCTCAACCAGGTAATATATATTATTGAAGCATTGTCACTTTTGGTGTACATTTAGAAGTTTAATTCTTTTAATTGTAATGTTGTACTTGCTCTTCTGAGCCTCATGTGAATTAGATTTGTACAGAATACATTGATTTTTAGTTTATTTAAAGCATTGACAGAAGCAGGGGTTTTTTTTGTCTTTTTCTGCTAATAAACACTTAGTGCATCATCAAACGTCAGACTGAAGAGATTGCTTTATCTTCAATGTCAATGTGTCTTCATTTTGCAACAGCACAATAGCTCTCATCAAATCAAATACCAAATTCCTCAATTTGTTTGTGGTTTTTTTTTGTAGAAGCTTTTAGATGTGTAAAAACTAAACATAACTATAATTAAATATTGAATAATAGTATTGAGTGTGGTCTGAAATACTTTCTAGGTTGCCATTGGCACTCGTCAAATTAATCTGAATGATAAGTGGCATGTTACTATGTTTATTTGACTTATAGAAAGAGCTTCTTCAAATAAAATGCTAAGGCTCTACTAATCATAGTATTTCCTTTTACATACGGCCCTGAAATGACTTATTTTCTTTCATTGATATTACAGGCTAGTTTTCACTAGCAACATGGAATGCAGTAACTCAAGTGTAGGTGATGAGGAATACCTTATGAGCTTAATTTAAGGCTGAGAAAAGGTGGAAATATTGTGAAGCTGATCCTTCTTGTCTGCAGGGAATTATAAAATTTGTCCCTAGAGCACCTTCATGTCAAAGGCAGGGAGGAGGAGCTGTAAGTTGTGTAGTAGAGGTTCAAAGAGAGGTGTTAGTAGGCAGGTAGGCAGCTATGTGTATGCCTAACCACATACATGATAAATGATAGACTGAAATGTCAGAATTACTTGATGAAGTATTAAGTCTTCAGTCATATCCCTCATTTCTTGAAGAGTGAACCATATTCTGATGCCTTAATACATGGGATGAAAAAAAGTTTCTAGCTGGTTGTACAGAATATGATTCAGTAGATTTTTTTCTGTTCTTTGTATGATGAATCACTGACAAAAGTAACTAAAAGAAAAAATTGTTTATAATTAGGAATGCCACTAATAATTTTTAAAATAGCTATTAGCAGTTCCTAATAAACTTTTACCTTTAAAACCCATGTCTTTAATCTGACTATTTAATTTTTATTGAAGTAGATGCTTGTAAACACCAGCTATGTCATTTTTCAGATTTGCATGTAAATGCTTTTCAGAATTTTACTGCATATAAAACCACAATGAGAGTCTCGGCTGCATCTGATAATTTTCTCATTTTTCTGTTTGTTTTTTTTACTTTGAAATTCTCACTGCAAGATCACAGATTTCTTTTTTTACATTGCATCATATTCATGCCCTTTTAAAATGCCATGTGCAACTCTGTTATGAGCATCTATTAGCTTTCCTCCTTAGAGGTTTTCATTTCACTGTTAATTTATTCATGAGCATGTGTTTAGGCACAAATTTAAAAAAAAATCCATTTACAGTTCTATGAAACTTTAGTTCTAGCATTTAATTTTTTGAACTTTGAAGTTTTAATCTCAGTTATTTGGTTATTAACTCTTTTCTGTGTTTGTGCTGCATGTCAGGGGTTTCCTTCTTGCAGAGTACAGTGCTAGGTTTTTCAGCCTCAGTAAAGATACAATACCACTAAGGACAGGGCTCTCAAGTGGTTTTGACTTGTCGATTGTGAGCTCCATGCGGAGCAAAACTTTCAGTGCTTCTTTAAATTACACAACTCTGATAGTATTAATCAATTGCACAGCAACCAGTGACTGCCAGAGTGCAGTGGTACTCTGTGTGGCCAGCTCTCCTCTTGTATGAGGAAACGTGTTTCAGAAACACCATATTAGCCCCAAGGACTGTTTTCTCCCAGCAGTCTGTTTCTCAAGCAGCATGGATTTCCTAAAGATTTTGTAAATGTGGACTCTAGTTTCCAGTTAAATGACTCTTTTCTTGGTTTTATATCTTGTAACTTTGAATTTTATAAACTTTGTTAATGGCTTTTCATTCCAGTTGCTTGTATATGTGATTCTTATTTACTAATTTAAACATCTGTAAACCCATGACTGATCTGTATCCAAAATAAAATGCAAGAAATAATAAAAGACAAAAAAGCTTTAGAGAAATGTGTTTAAGTACATGATCTTCCCAAATTGAAACACCATGCAAATACTAGCTTTTGTATCTTTACTCTTTCACAGTGCAAGTGATAGTCTAGTTGTGAAGGGTGAGTTTCTTCTCAGTACTTTTTTTGCTGTTAGAGAATTAATTGAAGCCCTGTATTGTCCTGACATTGAAAATAATAAATAAATTAAAAAAAAAAAAATCTGAAAGTCACTTACTTAGATCCCTGTAGTTCATGGATTTGCAATATACCTTATAGTTCTCGGTGCTGCAGTATGACTGTCAGTGCAGCCACTTGCTTTGTCACACCCCTTTGTAAACCTTGTCACCTACTGGCCATCACAAATTTTGAGAAGCTGTTAGTTGTGTCCTGTCCTGGGTTCAGCAGTAGCAGTCATTTTTCCTTACTCGGTTGCTTCACAGTCTGTGTGTGAGCAGCATCTCTTATCTCCCTGAGACGAGCTATAGCCTATGTTAAACACGGCCAAGGGAGAGCAGGAGGAAGGGTGGGAGTTAAGGAGCATATACTTCTAATGAAGTCACACTCTTTTTTTCAGCTAAAGCTCTCACCTGGGTTAAAGAAGCTTTTAACGGTAACAGCAGTGAGTGCGATATCTGTTATTTTTCTGGCCCATCACTTTAAAAGAAGACGTGGAAAGAAAAACAAGAAAGTGCCAGCATGGGAACCAAGTCATCTGGTACTAGAGTGTACTAAAGCAGCTGCATCAGAAAAAGGTACATGAAGAAACCCCCAAGTATTCTTTTTTTTCTTGGAGGGGAGGAAAAGGGGTGTGAGGGGAGCTGTGTGCATAACTGTATAGTAGTAAAACAAACTTTTCATTTAACGATGAGTAGGTTTGAATTGTTAAAGTAGAAAATGTGCAGATGAGGAGCAAAATTACAGTGTCTTAAAGTAAGCTGGTCTTGTTCTCAAAGGTGAAGTTTTAGTCATGAATTTGAATTAAAACTTTTTTTATTGGTAGTGTATTAACAGTCCAGTTTGCCATCTTGTGGATATACCTCAATACTGAGAAAAGCAAATTTAATTTTTTATAAGATGGGAAAATAATTGTGCTCAAATGCATGGTTATTGTTACAGATATTGACTGTTGTAATTTATAGTTTCTCATGTAGAACTGTAAATAAAAGAATAATTGTTGCTTGCTTCTAAACTGTATTTTATTGAAAAGAGTAAATGCAATTCTTGATCGATCTTGCTAATGAAAAATATGTTATTTTGAGTTTGCAGCAGCTTTAACATCAGTGTATCTCTTAGGTTCTAGTTGTTCCAGTAGTCGGCAAAACTTGACCCTTTCTCTGAGCTCTGTGAAGGAAAAAGGATCTCAGTCTTGTATCTATGCAAATGGAGGACTTTTCAGTAAATGCTCTGGTTCAGTTCAAAGCCTGGCCTCGGTGAGCAAAAGTGTTTTAAGGCTCTTCAATGTCTACTAACCTGCACTGAGTATGTACCTAATGGTTTCACTGGGCCGAAACAACTTTCTTGAGCAAGCTGTGCAGGTGACTAGAGGTAGTGAGAAGGCCGTTGTACTTACTAGTTAATAAAAACAGCTTCTAGCCAGGTAGCTTGGCTATACTGTGCTCTGGCAGGAATGTAATTTTAAGGACATTCTGTGCAACATCATTTCAAATTTTGTTCATTTTCTTCTGAAGGTTCAGAGTGCCACTTCTTGTCACAGTTGTGCTTGTGGCAATTCAAATTCCTGGGATAAAGCAGATGAAGATGATATTAAGCTTGTCAATATTCCAGTGACCACACCTGAGAATTTGTACTTGATGGGTAAGTCATAATAAGAACATTCATTATCTACTAACAATGAATGTAAATGATTTCTTGGGTTTACGGTAAAGTGACACACAATATTAGTGTGGTATCCTTTCACAGTATCCTGTTGGCATGTGTTTAAGAACACTTCTGTAAAATAATTTTATCTTACTTGATCTAGAGAATAGATATTGTTTTATTCCTGTATTTGTAGTAGTAATCCATCAAATTATTTAAAAAAATAAATAGGAAAAATACATTGAATGTTGTTGCTTTACTGGTAAACTCCTTTGTCTTCTTAAAAAGGCAAATATATTTTTTTAATTTATTTTTTAGACTGGAAATCAATGTTGTTTTGAAAGCTTACATCTCTGCTATAATCATGCTTATTAGCTACAAAGTTTCCTAACGCTCTAAAATGCACATACATATGGAAGCTGTGTGTTTGATGGAATCTAGGTATTCCTAATCTTCCCTAGGTATGGAGCTTTTTGAAGAAGCACTGCGTCGGTGGGAGCAGGCACTAACTTTCCGTAACAGGCAAGTTGAAGATGAAGCAAGTTGTGGTTCCATTAAGCTGGGAGCAGGAGATGCAATTGCAGAAGAAAGTGTAGAAGTGAGTATACTGAATCTATAATCTACTGCTGCTGCCCTAACAATTCATTGCACTTTGTTTCCTGAACCTTTTCAACTTCTGATTCAATTACCAATACCGAGAATGGATTAAAATTAGTGGTATTGCGTTTAAAGGAAATCTAGTTTTGTTCCTTTTGATTCTTTGGTTGCTTATTTGGAGGAGGGTTGGGGGAGAGAATTAGCATTATTTATTTTTTGGCAATCGCTGTTGCATCAGTGTTTGCTTCTGGATGGTATTAACAAGCTACCAAGCATACTAGTTTCTCCACAAAACCCCTTGGGTCATCCCTTTGTTTTATGACTATGTGAGAAGATACCTGCTTAGCAAAGATAAAGGTCTTGGGAAAGATGATCAATTTATGAGTAGCCACAATGTGCATGAACTTTATTTATATTCCTTTGTTCTTATGAACAAAATGCTAAAAATGCTTTGAAATACACCTGTGTGGCTTTCATTATTTCTAGTGCATTAAACATCACAGGTAAAGTATTTTAAAATTTAGACTTTATTTCTATTGAACTAGATAATACAAATGTATGTTTCAAAAAGTGTGTATATTTTGGATGTTGAAGTATTCATCTGTGCCAGTGGCACCGTCTGATCTTTAGAAGCTTAATAGTCTTCGATTTTACAAAGGAATCTTACAGGCTATAAACAAATAGGAAATATTCTAATGTCTGTGCACTTGCAGGATATCATTAGTGCTGAATTCATTCATAAGCTCGAATCCCTTCTTCAAAGAGCTTACCGTCTTCAGGAGGAGTTTGAAGCCACCCTTGGGGTCTCTGATCCTGCTTCTCTAGCTAATGATATTGGTGAGTACTCCTATTTCACATTTTTATTGGTTTTAATAATAACTCTTGGAGGGGGGAGAATCAATGAAATATTGAGTCATGAGAATTTATCAGTAAATGAAGAGAAAAAAAATCAGGGTCTTTACATTATTAGGTAATGTTTGATGTAGTGCTTGTATTTTAGATAAGAATGAACTGAGAGAAAATATTTTTCTCTGTGGCTTGTCAGTACACTTGAGAATTTTCATAATGCTTCTTAACTTTCTGAAGGTTATGACTTGGGTATTTAAATATTTATGCAGTAAGAATATATAACCTTTGAACTGTCAGACTGTATGCATGTACTTTTTTTGTTTGTCATAATTTTTTACAAAAGAAAAAACCCAAAATCAAACCAGAAAGAGTTTGTCTGAAATACATATCTACTACTAAAGCTCTTATCCCTAGTGATTGAAATGTGTCACAGTTAGTAGTGACTAAAACCAGGATTTTAAATGGCAAGTGTGATGTGTGATTGCTACAAGACATGCTGATTAAGTACAGATAGTTTGATTATTTTTATTTAAAGAATTGGTTTAAGGTGTTCTTAAAGCCTGATACTATTATGCTCTTTCATAATTCAAGATCAAGCACCTGATCTCAAGTAACTGTCAGACTTTAAAGGCAGAACATGTTCTGGGGTCATTTTTTAGTCAGTAGTCTTGTTTGTTAGGCTTCAACTTGACTGGCACGAGGTGGCAGCACTCTCATCTCGTAACCCTCATGTTATCCTGAAATCCCTAAATACAGTAAGGTGGGAATTAAATTCAGGTCAGAGCTGGCTTTCTGCTTCCAAGCACTGTGGAACTTGGAGGATTTAATACAGAGGGTGTTTTTGTTTGATGCTAGATATAAAAACATTATATCACTCAACATTTCTCAGATAATTTACTTTCCTGAAGGATATGTCACTGAGTGTAGGGTATGAATGTTTGAAGTAGGATGTTTTTGAGATTGACAGGTTTTTGGTAGCTGTCCTGAGACAGAGAGAAAAGTACAATTAGGAGAATCTTAGTGGCTGTCTAATGGGTCTGTTCCCTTCCACCTTGGTTTTTCTTTTCTTGTATTTGGCAACCTAGTTAAAGAAAATGAAAGCTGCTGTCAAGATACTTTCCTTTGCTAACCCAAAATGTACATGTTCACATGTAATACTTACTTTGTTTCACCTTCTTTTATTTAAAGCTTTGTATTACTCTTTTAGGAAGTATCCTAGTAGTAACTTCGGTCACCTTTTTTCCTTTTTGTGTGTGTTCACACATGTGCATGTATTAACAACAGTAATGGAAGGATTCAAGAGTCACAAGAATAACAAAGTCCAAGAAAATTATGAAATCCCAGTGGGCAAATGAAATAGATAGTACAACATTCTTTACCAAGAAATTTTGTAAAATACAAATGACAGTTCTGAGCAGAAACAGAAATGAAGGTGCCTCTGCTCTGCAGGAATGAATATAATTTGTTGCAAAAGAGGCAGCAGCAGCATCTGCTAAATCAGAATCAGTAGTCCTGGATGATTTGTACCCAATCTAGACAAAGAAAGTAAGAAAGCACCCTAATCCATCGTTTACTGCTTATTGCTCTTGGAAAGTAGAAAGTGTTCCAAATGATTGAGAAATTGCTAATTTAGTTACAAATCCTAAAAAACAAAAACCCCCAAACAAACAAAAAAAAGCCAAAACCAAAAACCACAAAAAATAAAACAAAACAAAAAAAACCCTCAGCCGAACAAACAAAACCCAACAACCCCAGAGCTCCAACAGCCAAGTTAAGCATCGTGCCTGTGAAATAAGAGAGTTGCTAATTTACTATGAGTACTGCCAGTTGTTACAGTTCTGTGGTAGATAGTTTTCCTTGGACTGTAGGTTTTTGAGAGATCTGCAGTTTGGGGGATTATTATAATAATTGGTTCACTGACCTGAACATTTGTTTATACTTCTGTTTGCTGTTAAGTGAAAGGTTTGCTTCCCTAGAGGGAAGATGTTTCGTCAAAGGCTGTAATTTTATCAGCTATGTGGTTGATGATAAAGTAAAGCTGGAAATCGATACAAAAATTTTATTTAGAGCATGAGAAGCATTGAATTTATGAAAAGGCAAGGTAAATAATGCTGCTCTGAATTATCTGTTTAAATTGTTACCGTCAATTCATATTTGAATCCAAACTAGTACAGATTGTACATAGAGTTGAGAGATCTTGAAAGAAAAATAATAAACACTCTTGGGATGCATTAGGAAAATTACGTATTGCAATCAGTCTGTGTTCTCAGCACACTGCTGTAGAAAAAAGACAGTTGATAATCCTTGGCTTTGTGTAAAGGACAACATCACCATAGAGGTAGAGATACAGTTGTGGGTTTATGTGGCTTTAAAATGCTGTGTCCAGTTCTATTTGTATTCCAGAAGATACAGAAATATTAGACAGCTCAAAACAAGCCATAAAAATGATCCATGTTTTGGAAAAACTTAAACATGGTTTGATTGCCTGTGACTAATTTTTTACTGAAGAAAGTACTGAGAGGTGACTTACTTGTTTTGAATAGTTACTTACACATGGAAAAGGTATGTGGTGCTGGGGGATTTGTAGACCCTGTTAGAGTTATAAGTAGATCCAGTTTCTGGTTGTTCTGGTGGCACAAGTTGAGTGCTGAAGTAAGTTGCCTCTGAACTGTGTTGAGGGTATTTCAGTGTTTCAGACAGGTTTTTTGTTGGGTTTTTTCAATGTTGTTTTTGTTCCTCTTTGAGAAGAAGAGATGGACTTGAGTGTAAATTGTCATTGGGGTCTTTCTTGCATATCAGTGTTTCCCCTTAGTACTGCTATTTTTTCTTCTTCTGTGGGCCTTGGCAAGAACAAGCAGAAGCCTTTGTCCTTAATAGGTTCATAAGTCTTGCAGCTTGTCATTAGAGTGCTTATAATGTTTTGCAGTGTTTTTTCTGTCAGACATGACAGAACTAGTTTGTGGATTTTTCTTCCATTTTCTCCATCTGAAGCACTTGTGGTTAGCCACAGCTGGAGGCACAGCTCTGACAGTTGGGCAAATGCTAAAGTGTTATCAAAAGATTTGCTACGTAAATGTCTGACTGGCACTTCTTATTCAGAAATCAGTCAGGAAAGAAACTTACAAAGGTAAAAATTTTCATCAGTTTCTGGTTTTCAGCTTTCTATGTAAAATCTGTCAGAATTCTGAGGCTCTTGAAAACACTCTCTCCTCTGCTTGTCTACTAGTCAGAGGTGTTGCTCCTTCCCAACACTATTAAGTGTTATTCTTCCCTGGTCACCATTTCTCTCTACCTAATCAGATTAAGATCTTAGTGCTGCCATTGATCAATCATACCACAAACTAGCTTTCACTTTATGATCCCACTTACTAGTTTTAGTTCATTGGCAAGATAAACAATTTGCCAAACAGCTTTGAGAAACAGCCTTCAGGAGGAGACTATGGTAACACGCTACATGGGAGAGTCAGGAATGAGTTACTTTATGTGTTGTGGTCTAATTAGCTTTTGTTTTATCCTTCTGTAAATTAGGACCTCCAAATGCTTTTTTATTTCCTAGTTATATGTAAATTAAATATTTTCTTTTCTAGATATTTCTAAATATTCAACTTTTAGCAGTGCAGAAGATACTGGTATTAATAAATACCTTTTTTTTCCCTGTGGGTATAATTCTGTTAATAGTAATAATAATGATTATTGTTTTTATTATTTCAACTCTGTAACCTATTGTGGCGTTATAAACAATTAATACAGCCCTGAAAAAGACCATTAAATAGATGAAATAATGGAACACAGTTGTGTTCATCGTTGTTGCATTCTCCACTGGACTTTCAGAATTATATAAACCAGCAAGTTAAAATAGGATTTCTATAGCAGAAATACTTCTGGACATGAAATTAAAATAAATATGTAGGGCTGCTGGGTTTTTTATGCTGATTTAGGGCTGTGAAACAGCATGGGAAACCCAGAAACAGGCTTTCCTGAGGCAGGCATAAGCTGTTCGCATCAGGAAGGAGGCAATTGGTAGAAAACTGTGAAACAAAAAATATTCATCTTATTATTTCTGAGGGGGTAGAGGGTTAAAAGCTTCCAATACTTTCTGTAGTCTGTCCTTGAAAAAAGTTCTCTTTTTTTTCTTTTTCTTTTTTTTTAATTCTTTTTAGATCTTTTCTAGCAGACCAAAATGTTAGTCGAGCTAACTTGTGAGGAATGCAGAGTTAGGACAGAAACAATAGCTTTACTTACAAGCAGAATTGCAGGTCAGAGGGGAAAATTCTCAAATTGTAGGGCTCCTTTTCAGTACTGAATTCCTAATACATCGTGTTATTATATTATTTTCTACTGCAAAAAGGAATACTGGCACTCAAACTAATGGTGATTTGTGTACACTGGCCCTTACACTTTTTGATAATAATAGTAAAACTTATGCATTGAGAACATTTTTGTTTAGAAATATTTACTTTTTATTTTATCCTAATTATACAATTTAAAACAAATGAATTGTTTGAGCTACTGCAGTAAAAGATCTCTCACAAAGGTCTGCGTTGTTGGAAGGTTTGTCTGTTTCTTTTTTTAATTTTCTTCTCACACTCAGAGATATGCCTGGCATTTTGGAGAGAATATGCATAGCCTTTAACCTAGTGGCAGAACTCTTTGGAGAACATATTTGCGTATTAGAAACCTTTTTTCCAGCTGCTTCTAAAAGGAAGAAAAATCTTTGCATAATCAATGAAACTATTGAAAGCTCATTCTTATATACTTTATTGCACACACTTTTAGAATGTTTTACTGTCCATGAATGAATATCTGGGGCCTTTCCTTCCTGCCTCTGAAATGTTATATACTCAAACTAAAATTTTTTCATTAACATTTTATTTGGTTAGGCACAAGAAATGTTTCTGCTTCTAATTGCCAGGCTCCAATGAGGAGGTGAGCAATTTGTAATAATTCACATAGGTGTGCTTTAGTAGTACATACTATAAAATAATTTC